AAAATATGGAAGAACAAATGAAGCAAATAAAAATTGGGTAGGTGACCACAAGAATATTCTCACCTCTTCAAGAATGTCTTGAACTTCTCGAGGTTGAAGAGATGTCCATTCTGCAACCTTGTATTGTTCGACATCGAGTTTAGTCTGAAAAAGAGAATGTTCTGAAAGGAAACAATAAGAGCCTTGGAATCGAACCTTTAAAACGGCAAACTCTTCTCTGAGGTGTTTGTTCCCCTCGAGAGTCTGTGACAGTAGCACTTATATGGACGAGGAGGTTCACCCAAAGGACTACAAAAGTTTCCAGTAGATGTGCCTGAAATAAAAAACTTTTACAAAAAAAATTATACAACTTCCATATGGAACACGTACTCGTAGTTGTTGTCCCCAGCTTCTCTTTCCTCAACTTCGAAGCTGCTCAGATCGCTGGTAATGTTTCCTTTGCTCATCACGCCAGTTGAATCCATCTTTCACTAGAAAATGCAGCAATTCAAGCCGATAAAACCTCGAATTACAATCAAACGGAGAAGAATGAGTTTGAAGGGAAGTCTAATGTGAAGAGACGTTCAAACTTATACAATACACACATGAAGGCGGTACTTCGAAAATGTAGCAGAAGAAAGGAACTACTCCCGAAATCTTAAATATCTTTCGTTTGTCCTTAAAAGTGGTCTGATTCCACTAAAAGCGCCTTAAGGATATTTATACCCTTGTTCTGCTGTTTACCCTTTTTTGTTATTTTCTTGTAAAAGGCGAATGCGTGACTGCAGCGTTAGTTAGTTTTAACCTCAACCTTCAAAGAGAAGGAGCACCGGGGTGGGTGAGATGACAACCCTGCGCACGAAGCTGGAGGAGTGAGGTAAAATTAGAAGAGCCAACTGACTCACCCTCCCGGTGCTTCTTCCTTACCACGGCTCAGGAAAAAACTATATTTCATTGGAAGTTCGTTTCCAAGCACATTTTGCCTGCTATTCCTAATACTTTGTGTTCTAGTGCTCAATGTTGGAAAAGTGTGATAGTCTGACCCCTTCCCACCACTCAGAAACTGAATTTTTACCGACACGAACTATCAGTGAGACCTGAACAACACAAAAANTGACCAAAAACTCATAACTCCTGTTCCCGTGGACCTAGAAGGCTCAAATTTGGCAGGAGTACAGGGGGCAGCATGGGAACACTTATGGCACGTAGCTCCTGTTCCAGTGGACCCAAAGCGTTCAAAATTGGTAGGAGTACAGGAAGTAGGTTAGGAATACTGATGGTAGGTGATAAGTGGTGATAACAATAAAAAGGAGTTAATCGAGAGCTTTGAAAGGCGAGAGCCACAGGAACAGTTACTTACTTCGTGTTAACGGCAGAACTTTGGCACTTCGATAAGGGATGTGTCGGAAGGGCGGCCAACTCACGCACGCAAGCGGCGTGCCTTGTAAGAGATTTGATCGAGAGGAGTATGACCTATTGATTCACAAGCCCAAGAGAGTATATAAGGGGGCGACCTCTCAGAGAATTGTTCGTCTTCTGATTTCGACTCGAAGCCCACCCTTACACGGACCTGCCGCGGCCGCTGCCCTCCTCGACGGAACTCCCGGACTCGGTGCCCACGCTCGACAATTCTTTTTTTGTTTTCTTTGTATCGTTGTTTTATTTCGTGTCGTGTTTGTTGTTATTTGCCGGACAAATTGTTCGGTTCACTGTTCTTGTTCGTGAGTCGCTCACAACCGTAATTATTGGAGTTTTGCCAAACATTACAGATGTGATTAAAAAAGGGCCGTAGATATTCATTGACAGAGACTAATAACAACTGTTAGAGTCTGACAGAAACTGATAGAAGACGAGAGCCAGTAAGTCTATACAACGTTTTAGAATTCCAGTAGATAGTGCAGGATGTGAAGGGACCGAAGTTATAATAATTAGTGATAGGGATAGATAATAACAAGCGAGCAAGCGTTGCAATCCCCTCCGTGTCAACAGTGGAATCTTTTCGATGACGGCAATGTAGGATGTGACGCGGTCGTAGGTACTCTGTGACAGGACTGATAACGACTGATAAGAACTGATAAGGAGCCTTAAAGAGCAAAAGGGTATTCATGATCAACACTGACTCTTTAAAATGTTTCATTCAATAAGGCGAGTAAATGCAGTAATAGCGACCGATCAAAGACATTTCTCCATAACGAAATGAGGATATTGTTCATTTCTTGCTATTAAACTACGATCGTTACGCAGTAAGCTTTGTGACACATTGAAGTACTACGATTCCTTTTTTTGTCACCAAACTCATCTGACTGCTAATGATTTGGGATTTCCAATCAATGAAAAATCCGTGGGGAAAATGTTCCATTGATAACGACATCTTTGATAAGCGTTATTATCCATTTCAGGGTACCATTCAAGGCATTGGTTGCCAATCAGTTGAGCCGTCAATGTGACACAATGTCGAGATGAAGAGCAATGAATCGAGACTTCTAATTAGTATATAATTAACTACAATACAGAAAAAAATCGCTCCCAATTCGCCTTCAAAGAAAAAAGGAGAATCCAAAGCGCAGAAGCATTGAATAATATTAGAATCCAAAGTGTTATTTACGCATAGCAAGCTTCTTTCAGTAAGGAGGAGCGCCAGCCGAAGCCGGGCGATAACATAAGAAGGAGGGAAGCCCGGTGTTAGCCGGGCGGCCCGAATCGTACACAATTATAACCGCATTTGAATGAAATTCGAAAATGATCATCTCCCCTGCAAGACGAACTCAAAACGCGATCCACAAGTTAAGCCACAGACCAATGCTCCGGACTACTTTCAGGTCATTGAAGACGAGGAGTTAGTCGAAGCGTCGACCTAATAAACGGTTCCATCATAACAAACCTCTTCAGCAAATCATAGCGAAATCCCCCCTTCTATACAGCCTCCAGTACACAAAACTAGTGATGCCACACGTCTGTCACTTTGGTTTCCCGGTGCATTGCCTGATTCAAGGAAGCATCCTGCGGCGCGGTTGCGTCGCGGTTAGCTCAGTCATCCTTGTTTCCCGGCTGTCCGGGGATTTTGGTTGATATTTCAATTAGCTCTCGCTCTATACGGTTCTTTTTTGTTTCTTGTTCCTGGCGGTCTATGGCCTTAGCCCAGCAGTCGGTTCCTATGATATTGGACGTTTAGTCCTTCTTTTGCTTACTCCTTCTCAACACCATTCTTTTCACTTTGAACGTTTATGTTGAAACTGAGTGCTTGGACTTCGGAAGATGTCTTATAGGTACATCTGTTTCAGAATGGCTGATCCTGTCGCTGATTTTCTCGCTCGAGAACAAGATCTCCTTGCTGAGATTGATGGTGTCGCAGCTCCTGCTGTGCCTCTAAATCCGCCAGCTCCTCCTGCAGGTCGATTTCCTTTTTTTTAAGATTTTTCTCGAATTATTGTAAAGCTTTCTCCCAAACATCATACTTTTTGCTATCCATTTCTGTGCACGAATAACTTGTTTGTAATTAGCATTAAGAGGGAGCGAAATATTGCAGAGGACTTTGGTGGATTGATGGGACCTCAATCCGTTGGAGGAGGAGATTCAGGCGTTGATTTGGCTGGTATGGATTACCAGGGCACTCCTCCGGGTGAGCCTGTGAAATAATATTTGTGAAATTTCCTTTATTCTTCCTTATTGAGTAATGCATTCTCTGAGATGCCAAGTAAGTTATTTTTGAAAAAAAAGTAAAATAGCGATCAGATCTCGAGATCAGTAGGAACGGTTGCAACAGGACTCCGACTGTAGGGTTATGTTCAGTGAATCTGACAGGTTGTTTTTTTTCTTTGTAAATATAGGAGCTATTCGAGGAGTAAATTTTGAGGTGAAAACCATAATCTATGCTAAATCACAGCGCCAACTTCGGACAATCATAGAGTCGACTGTAATACATATAAATTTTTCATCAATGATTTTTTCAAAAACGAGCTTATGTGGTTTTGCAAAAAAAGTTTTATGTCCGCAGTCGCATATTCGCTTCGTTGAGTTTAAGCGTGCTCTATTTCGTATGCGTAATGTTTCAAGTTATTCGGACTATGCCTGTCCCTCTATAATGTTATATAGGAGGTGAGGATTTTCCATTGAAAATCCTTCATAATGTTCAGTTCCACTGGTCAATGGTACGGGCGTGAATAGTCATCACTCAGCTGCAAGTTCGAAAGGAACTTCTCCCGTTCCCTCTGTACCACGTATCGAAGCTGAGAACATACGCAGATGGCGTGAACAACAGAAGATTCTTCTCGAAAAGAAAGGTATTGGTTTCAGCAATTATTATTTGGTTGTTAGGGTGGCTATAGTCCTCTTATGTAGCTGTGACGCCTTCTCTTACTGTTCTCCACTGTGGTTCTTGTTCACCGATAACTGCTTCAGACGAGGCAGAGGAAAAGAAGAAGAGTGAACTACGTAATACAGCAAAGAAGGAGTTGGAAGATTGGTACAAGCAACGTGAAGCAGCTCTCAAACTAACAAAAGAGGCGAACAGGTATTTCCCATCGACAGAAGTGTCGTTAGCATGGTTCATTGCTTTGATTCTCGTCCATGTTTAGTAGGCTATCAATTATATCTCAATAAACGTTGCAGCTGGAGTGCTTGCAAAGTATGCCTGCAAGATTTCGACTAGGAAAGTGATGTGTATCAAGGAGTTCTGGTATGAGTAGCACTAGGTGGCAGTGAATGCGGTCATCAGGCTGCTTTGACTTATTCTTTTCATGCTCAGCATTCACAGGGGTCATTCGCTAATTCGTGTTCGTGTTCGCCTTCACAGAGCCGTTGGCACCTGTGAGATGGCACATTTCAACGATTTGAGTCACCTATATTGTTGCACATCCGCCTGATTTTCATTTATCATAAATAGCGATTAAATAAATTTTGAAATTCGAGTTCAAGCTCAACGATACGAATTCAAAATAATGTTGAACAGTATAGTACTTTGCATGAGCGCTTGCAACTCAAATAACTTGTAACTTTTTGAAGGGCCAAACACAAGATCCAGCACTCGCTGAAATACTGTCCAATCCCTTAACGTAGGTTCACCTTAAAACAAACTACCGAAACAACTCATTGGATGACATTTCTGTCTGTGGCATTTCTGCTCAGTGCTTCAGTGGTAAGATACCCAGTTCTCCCTCTTCTAGGTAGCTTTTACTCTTCCAGAAGCATTTTTACTCAGTACTTAAACATTCCTCCTATGCTCCCTTTTCGAAAGCGAGTGATTCAAACTTCTCTTGACGCGAAATTTCTGTGTGTAAATCGCTGAAAGAGCTAGAAACCTTCGAAAGTTTTGCCCTTCCTCAAAAGGTTCTCTGGTTATTAGCGTCGAGGAGTGAAGTTGCAACATCTTAGGAGAAGCAACCTTTCTTAATACTCCGAGACAGGATATGCTTGACCAGGATTGGTTTAATTATTAATTATCTAAAGTGTTAGTGCAACTTCATTTCATGCTGTTCCGTTCTGTTTAGCTATGTTTTGAAAAGTAATCTCTGACGAGTTTTACAGACTTGTGCAATTTTTTCTATCTAGTTTTGTCCTTATGAATCTATCGATGTGTTTACTTTTCAGGCACTCCGTTGTAATCTGCTCATTGTTGCTTTTCATTCGTTTGTTTACTTATCTCTATCTACTGACCTCAATTGCACCTATCAACTGCTTATTCGTAATTCACTGAGGAATCATTGATCCCGTTTTTACTACTGTCTTAACCTGACTTGATTAAATGTGATCATAATTTCCGAAACTGAAAAGTTTAGGATCATTTCAAATTGGCACTTTGTCTTCTTATAATAAAGTTTTAGGAAAGCGGAGCAGGAGCATTTGGCAGCCTTCGGTCGTGAACAAGGGGAAGGGGCCCAGTGGGATGAAATTGCGCGACTTTGTGAGGCAAAAGCTCAGAAAGGTGGAAAAGACGTTAGCCGCCTGAAAAGTCTTCTACTGCACCTCAAGGATCAGAATCAGAACAATCGCAAGTGAGTTATTTCGATACTATGAAAGTTTTGTTATAAGTCCTCAACGATCAATAATCATTAATATGAATTCATAAATGTAATTTACTGGGACCGGTTATGAAAAAATTCCTTAAAAAATTTCTTTTTCATAATGACTGGGAACTGTCGTGAGTTAATGCGAACGCTAGAAAGTCTGTCTTAGACCCTTGGTGAAGCTCCGTTTGACAAACTTTGAATTTGTTTGTCAGACTGCTGTAATGTTTCCTCATTTTATTCAACCTTTCTCTTATGTGTTTTTGTAATCTATTATTGCAGGTAACCCACGCACTCATCATTGCAAATATTGCATCCGGCGGTGTCTTCATTACATTTTTCTTGTGTTTTACTCAGTTTCACTTGAGAAGATCCGTGTTCCAAAGTGTAGATTCATAAGTTATGAAAAACATCTGATTTCTCGAAGTAGTCTGATCCATGTTGTGATTTGTTTTATGTGATTAAAGAAAGCATGTGTAAACGTCTTCTGTCTGTTGTGGGTTTTTCGCACAAGAGTTTCATTGTGTAAGATCGCGTTTTCTTTTGGTTTTCCAATGTTTGTATCGCACCTTTGTCATTCGGTGTATTCAGTCACCTGAACTTCTATGTGAGAACTTGCCTTTTGAATGATAACTGTGTGATTGATTATTGGAAATGAGAAAGCAACCACATCGGGATGGTTATATGTGAAGAATATTTATGTATTTATTTTCATGTTTCAATCACTGTTGCTGTGCATTCATAATTGTTGTATCCGTTTTATTTTAATTTTCTTTTTTTGTGATATGCATGTAGAGAATGAAACGTTATCTTTAGCAGAAATAAAAAAAATTGGAGCTGATGCGTGTTGTCATCGCCGAATACTTGAGACGCATGTCAGTAGTTTACGAAAATTTCTGCGCTATTTCTAGGCGAGGCTTTATTTTTCCAGATGTTAGTTGTTTTCTGATTTCCAGCTACTATGGAGGCTGCGAATGGTGAGCAACTAGCCATTTCTTTCTCATTCTGAACTTTGTTGATTCTGCGCATCGAAAAACTTGAAACGATATGCTTTTGCCTTTGGAAGGATTTTCGTCCCTGGAAGGCGTTAGGTTTATTCCGGAATAAAACAGCGCTAATTCACTTGTGTTTTTCAACCTTGTGTTCATATTAATGATGTTTTCTGTTTGGTTTTAAAAAACGAAAGCTGTGCGACCAGAGTAGTCAGGAGCCAACAAGAGTTAGCGATCGAGTGTGTTCAAAATGTTTAAGCAGAAAGAAGGTCTTAAGTCATCATTAAAGGACTGCCGTCTGCCGAAGAGCTTATGGAGCTGGTAAACAAACAAGATTCTGTAATAGAATGTCTCCAGGAGAAGTTGGATATCAGTAACGAGCAGGTTCGACTATTTCGAGAAGCAGAGGAGAAGAGGGTATTTGTTTTAAATGTCAATTTTCTTAATAGTTGAATTTCCCATAAGCATTGATTCCCTTGGGAAACCGTTTTGTGAGAAGTGCAGTATTCCAGGGGAGCATTATCCCAAGTGGTTGTTCTTAGAATTCTAATGTTGCCGTAGGTCGGTTTTTGGAGTGCGAGTTGGTGCGTTCCGTTGACGGTATATATTTCGGGCATTTGGCTCCCCATGAGATTGTCAAATCAGCACAAAATTTTGTTTTCAAATTTTTCGTTTTGAGTACTTAGCCACTGTAATTGGACCANAACTATAGCAGAAACCTTTCTGGACTAGTATCTTACAGCGTCATTCCGAAAACGAGTCGTCAGAGATTGTTGTTGCTGCAGAACAGAGAATCAGTTCAGCCATGGCAGCGGTGCAGTCATTAAAAGTATGTGTATCACCTTATTTATTAGCAATACAGTTTCACGTACAACTTCATGGAGTTACTATTTAGACCCAAAACGAAAAGTTAGAGAATGAGCTGGAGAAGTTGTCGAAAATAACCGAACAAGAAAAACCGGTTCCGTCTGTGATTCAGCTTCGCAACAGGGTTAAGGAGGTAGTTTTTCTTATCTTCAGTTTTCTCTCTGTTTGACAAATATTTTTTCCACCTCATATGTAACCATCTGCAACAACATTTCTGAGTCGTGCCATTTACTTGAAATCATTGAAATATGAACTAGTATTTTGTCCCAAGCTGTTCAATGAGACTATTGCAGCTTGAATTCAACTTGGTTCGTGAGCAGCGAGCCGCAGCTAATTTACAGAATGAGGTCGCTTTCCAAAAAAGGAGAGTGGACCAGGTAATCTCTTCTTTTTTTCTGTTCAAGTTTGGCTTGTTCAGTTGCGATATGAATCAGTAGTGCTATCCACTGATTACATTTATATTTATTAATGCTAACTTTCTTGAAAGCTGTTTTTCCCCGAGCGTTTCGGTATTCTGTTTCTGCAACTAGATTAACTGCAAAAGTTTCTACTGCTCCAGGCTCCTATTTTTGACATTTTAAAATGAATTTCATCACTTTACAACCCTTTTACGGTCACAAATGTGGGAGGAGCTGAGTGTGGAAGCTTTTGAAAGTTTAGAATCCGACTTGTTCACTGCTTTCAGTTACAAAGCGAACTGGATGCGTGCCATAAAAAGAGCGCGAGCGTTGCATACTCACTCTCTTCAAAATTAGACGAGAGTGTAAAGGAGTTAATCGAGTTGAAGATTAAGTACCAGTGTGAGTTATTGAATATCTAGCTTATCGTCTTCTTTTACTCCTGTCCCTTTACTAGCTTGACGTAGAAGTCGTGTTCGAAAGGCCAGTAAAAAATGTTTCAAAATTTTTTGTATTCCCTTTAACTAGTATCAAACGCAGCGTGCAGTCACTAGCACTCGAACAATTCCTTATGCCCTTTCCGTCCTATTTCTAAAAGCTTTGGGTACAGTCATGGGCGATTTTGTTTATTTCAAACCTTTTTTGTTGAGTCGTCGTTCTTCCCTGTTTTCTCTCATCTCAAAAACATATCTTATTGTCGAACCTGAAGTTTCTACGTATCCTTCTTTTACGGTTACTAGCAGTTGCAAAGCAACTGCTAGTAAAACCTTGGGTTTCACGCCAAAATTGGGAAAAATCAATAACTAGTGAAAGGTAGGAACAACGGCTTCGGAGATTTGGATTTCAGCGAGCTAGTTTCGGTTCTTCCTCTTGGTTCCAATTTTTTTTTGAGTTCTCTCGCCCGTGGTGATTTGTGCTATCCCATCTTCTAAGTGCAATGAATTTACGGAGGTTTAGTAAAAACATTATATAGTGACATGTTTCAGCTGGTTTGAATGAACGAGACCAAATCGCCTCTGAGCTGGGGGGAAAGGTTGAGGTGATGACTCAAAGATCTGCTCATTTACAAGCACACTGCGAACGAATATCATCCAAATTGCTGAAATTACGGAAGGAATGCGAGGTTTCTGAATTCCGTATAGCAGCCCTCGTAGAGGAGAACGCGATGCTCAGAGGAGCCGTAAGTGCCTTCTGTTATCATAATCCCTTATTAATAGGAAACTTAATCCCACGAAATTTCAGGCATCAAGAAGACCTCCGGAAGAAGAAGGAGAACGTGAGTTTTAAGCTCATCCTTCTTGCCCTTGTTAATGCCATCTCAATATTGATGTTTTCTATAGAAGTTCAGCAACTTCTGAAAGACCAATGCCATCTAATAGATGCTCTACGAGAAGAAAGCAAGCTCTTGCTGTGTCAGTTGGAATCTGAACGGAAGAAATACAGATATGGCACCTATCAGTAGTTCTTTTAATTTTATTAGTTAATAACGGTAGACATATAATGTTTATTTCTCCATCTTTTAAACATAACCCAGCAGGTTTTGCTAATCGACTGGATTTGCAAGCTACCATATACCGTCCTGTCCCCTTCTTTTCTTGATACTTCTCAATATTGTCAGGGTCATCAGGCAAACATTAGCAAACAGCTAGATTCCGTATTTCGCAGGGGAATGGTGACTCTAGACAGGAGTAAGCGAGCGCGCCCAGTGGAAGGTGCGAACGCTTATATCACCTTGTCCTAACACCATTTAAATAATAAGAGTCCATCGTTATAACACGAATATAACATGGACAACAAGGGAAACAATTAAGATAAGAAGATGCACATAACAGGAGGAACACGATGGAGACTAGTGACCGGTAGATGGGTGTTGTATCTCTTCTGGAAGGTACAGGGAATCGTCTCAGATGGAGAAATGGTCGTTAGCTGCAGCACTCGGTCCGTGAAGCCGGTAGACTGCTCAAGCTTCCTCGTCGTCGATAGGCCATGCCCTGAAAGTAGAAGCTGAGTCATGAGGGAAACATCCGCAGAATCCTCATCATATGCTCACGTCCCTTACACAGGCTACACAAGAGGTATCGGTATAGGTGGAGACTTCGGCATTTGCTGCAATACATCCACTCCTAAGATCAGTCGAGTAATTATTAGCGGGTATATTGTTGAGTTGACAGCGTTTCGGAATGCATAATCTGAGTACTTCCAATTGTGCACTCACTTTTGTCTGGAATTTTTTAGAACCGAAACGAAACTGTTCAAGAGGGAAAGACGAGAACTGGAGGAACGAATCCAAAAACTGCTGTCCTCCTGAAATATGGCCATAATCGCGTTCATACTTTATTAGCTTACTCCTTGGTGAGTATGAATGCACCTATTTTGTGTTACTCCATTTATCTTGAGGGATTCACAAGCTGCACAAGCTGCGAGATCCATAATAACAATGAGTGCAGTTTCCGAGCACTCTATGCACTGCTTTATTTACTCAACTGTTTTTATGTTTCTTTGAGCGCAGTTTGTTACGCTGAGCATGTTGATTCTACTATTCAAACGGATTGTACTCCTTCATGTGTTGCGGGTGATAAGATCTCCATTTTTTGATCTCAATCAAATTATGTGATAAAGTTGTTATTGCTGATTGCTCCATCTTCTGAACAAGCCACCGAAAATAGTAGTATTCTGCTGCTGGCTTCAAACTGGATCAATAGTACAGTGCTTATTGGATAGGTGCTTAAAATACTGTTTCCAGAGGGTAGACATACTTACCTCCAAATAATAAGCATAACCAGGTTATGTGACTCCGGGTGGTGGATAGGGGGGCAACAGAACTTGATTTTGATAGTTTTTCTCTTCCTTTTTCTTTTTTATGTTTATTGGACTTGATTGTATGAAATGACTACTCCTTAGTATACCGGACCGGTGGATAGGGGAGTAAATCGCCGACTAAAAGTTGCTAATACTTGCCCAAAGGCACAAGTAAATACAGGGGATGGAAACCACTTTTCGATGTGCTGGATCGATATAATTTCTGTATCTTGCAAGTATCGCATAGCCTGTGGGGAGTCTATGGGTGCGGTGGGTGTCCTGCATATCGGCTCAGGCAAAAACTAGCATTCGAGTGGCTGGAAAGTGATTCGGGAGGCGATTTGGAGCCGCCCCGAATTCAAACCCCTTGTCTACTGTGGGTTGGCTCGGCTAGCTGTCCGAAGACCATTCAGCAAAAGCAGTAGTATGGATGGATACAATTCTTTATCGACGTGATGGCATGTCGAATTTCGAAAGGGAAAACCTAATTCCGATGTGTTCGTCTTGCCTAAGATGGTGGGTAGGCAAGTAGACGTGGCTGTTGAAGTGATCCGAGTAGAACTTAGTTGAACTTCTCCATTTCCCTTCGAGATGCAGTAACTGTTCAGTCAGGATGACGAAGTGAAGTCACCTGGGTATTGTGATTGGCCCACTTCGTCTTGATTTGCGAATGCTCTTTTCAGCCTCGGCGTCTTCGTCCATAACTGAAGCTTTTCCCTTTTTTAGATCTTCCTTAAACTCTTAAAAATAAATCATTGGTCAACTCGTTATCTGTATACCATAACATCTGTCGAATACGGGACAACTCTTGGATCGCTTACGTGCTCGCAGGTTTCATCACAACTGTGTTGCCTGACCCCTCTGCACAAAACACCAGCGTTAGTAAAAACGAGGCTTTGCAAGCACTTTCAGAAATGCCTGGCCAGCACGCAAGAAATGTGTTAATGTTTGGATTGAGCAAGGCACAGATAATGGCTCTTATCAAGGAGTACTTGAACCGCAATTTATTTAAGTGGTCCGGGAGATTTCACAGATAAGAGGGCTTGTGATGGGGCAGCGGCTAACTCCGCTCCTTGCTGTCTGCTTTATGAGCAGAATTAAACGTCCAGCGCTACCTAGCTTACATGCCCGTAATACGCTGCCGTTACGTTGACGACTGTTTCGTCGTAACCACAACTTACTGTCAGACAAAAATGAATGAGTCACCTTCTTAACAGTCAATCGCTGTACATAAAGCTAACTCAAGAAGTCCCCTGCGAAGGCTGGTTGCTCTTTCTGAATACCCAAGTTAGGGTCATCAGAGGAACATACAGTGTGAAGTATTTTAGGAAAGGGAGCTCCAATAATATAATCATTTGCGCAATGTCGGCGCACCTCAGAGCTGTTTAGTGTTATGAAACTTGTACAGAACGGCTGTGGTGGTGCGCACCGGTAACGAAAAGCGAAAAGAGTTAAGAAGATTAGCGCATCAAATAGCTAATCGTAACGGATACACACCGCTGCAGCATGCGATACGAAGCAGACCAAGGCCTTTTCTTTACGGAAGTGAAGATAAGGTGTCATTCATATCAGATCAATTCAGCGTGCCTGAAACGAACAAAACTAGCCTATGTCTTTTCTTCGTTAACACGCCAAGATAAAATGTTAAACACCAGTTGGTTAGCTACCAGCCTCCGTGTTTGACATGGGTTGCGTGCTATATTGAAGAAACCGGGGAGTTATGCGTCTGCAAAGGAACGTTTAGCTAGCAAAATGGGAAATTGCTTGATCGTACCGTTAGAAAAACACAGAATAGAAGGCCATGCTGTTTCTGGCCTTGACGTCAAGTGCACGATTTTGGCCCATGATAACAATATTGGTGCCAGAAAAAAAATGCAGAAGCTTTCTAGATAGGAGACCGAAATCCTAGCATAAATAACAAGAATGAGTGCGTCAACATAGCTGGTGACCTCCTACCACATATCCCTCTGTGTGAGCTTTGCTAGTGGGGACCGATACCTGTCATTCACGATACCATTAATGGATCGTGGTGTGACTTGTTGGAATTTCCATTTCGATGGAAGTTCATCGGCCTGATTGTGAGTGGCAACTAGTTAAAAGTTGGTCTCCGTCAAGCGTGATAGTCATCACTCTGAAGTTCCCAAACACTATCAGGCTTAATAGCAACAAATTGGTCGAAACCATCATTTAAAAACCTGCTTGTCACAGAAGCATTGTTTAGTCATAGACTTTCTTCTCCGGAACGATCTGATTGAGTAGCCGCGTCCCCTGTTCTCCCGGAATTTCAGCGCTATGATTAACACATATCCTTTTGCTACAGTTCGTTTCCGAAAGTTCATATTGGTCATGTGTTTAGGGTTAATAAAAGAAAGGAAATGGAGAGGGAAGGATTGCTTATCAGTGTTCTCTTACAAAGGTGTTGGGCGGTTGGTTTGATTCGAGGTTACCTCATTTTGATTTCAGAGAGATCAAGCTCGTGTTAGTGAAGATCCTGAAGAGCGGTCCTCTTCAAGCCTTCTCACGTTCTGTTGGCTTTCATGAATGTATTTGAAATGGCCTCCAAGTAACTAAGCATCGCATCTACAAAACGAACACACAACGATTTTATATAACC